TGCCCCGTGTGGAGAGCGGCACGGGCTGCAGCGTTCCCTGGCTGTCCCCGGGCAGGCTCCTGGTCCTGTGGTTCTGCACGCCAGGAGACGCCATCATCTGGAGTCCCCTCCTGGGATCCGGGCTGTCCTTCCTGTCAGCAGGAGCCTCCTCCTGCTGGTCACAGAACCCTAGAATCACAAAGGTTGGAAAAGGCCTCTAAGACCATCAAGTCCAACCGTCAACCCAACACTACCATGGCCATAGAAATACCTTGTCTCCCAGTATGTGTGTCATTCACATCCAAACCAGAGACTTTACTTTTGAGATGGCCAGGAAAGGTCCTGTACAGTAGCTTGCTGCCTGGCTTTCTTTTTATGATTCCCTCCTGTGGGGTCAACCCTGCCGACTGTGACCGCCGTGGAGTGGGCTGGGCTGGCGAAGGGTTCTTGTGCTGGTGTGACCATGGGCTGACTGCTCGTCCTGGCGAGGCAGAGGTGGGGCAGAGGTGCCCGCTGGCCACCACCTGCCCGGGGAGGAGCTGTGAGGGCAGCAGAGGCGCCGGGCACGCGCGGCCCCGGCGCACCCTCAACCCGTGGCCTGAGGGCTCCTGCAGCTGCAGAGGCTCCTCTGCCTCCTGGTAGATGTTCCTGCTCTTCCTTTGTTGAGCTGCTCTTTGATCTTACAGATGTTTTTGGTATCCTGGAGTGCCTGGAGCTGTTTGTTGTGGTGGAGGGTAATTGGCTGCAGTCTCTCAGATGTGGTGCTGGGCTCTCCCAAGGAAGCTCTCCTTTACTCGGCGTCAGGAACCTGCAGCTGCAGAGGCTCCTCTGCCTCCTGGTAGATGTTCCTGCTCTTCCTTTGTTGAGCTGCTCTTTGATCTTACAGATGTTTTTGGTATCCTGGAGTGCCTGGAGCTGTTTGTTGTGGTGGAGGGTAATTGGCTGCAGTCTCTCAGATGTGGTGCTGGGCTCTCCCAAGGAAGCTCTCCTTTACTCGGCGTCAGGAATTGCTCTGTTCCTAGATTGCAAGGCATAACTGTGTATTGACAGTCTCTTTGTGTTTTTCTCCAACGAATTATATTCCTCAGGCAACTTGTTGGAGCGCTGGAATGTTCCCCTGGAACTGCAGCTGAGCAGACAAGTGGCTGGCTCTGGTGTGCCCGGGGGCAGAGGCGATAGTTCAGTTTTTGTCCTAATTGTGAGCTTGTCATCGTTAGGAGCAGGTGCCTATGTAAGTAGAAAGGTGGATCCTGGGCAGACGCCACCCAACAGCTCTCCTGTCCAGCTCCCTCTGGACTTCAGCTCACTCCACTCAGCTTTTTACCTCTGTTGCTCCTTCCTCCTTCAGAAAACTTCGAGGAGGGAGAACTGTGCTAGCTGGAAATTCACTTCTTGTGATCATTTTTTTCTAAGCTGTAATTTCAGTTACCGTGTAGGTTTCCTTACTGTCCAGACACCCTTTTCCTACACGCCGTGACCTACCACAGCTCGCTGTGTTCTCTCCTGTGACAGCAGCATGCAGGCCAGGGGGAGCTGGGGGGTGTATGCCTTTAACCCCAAAACAGGCCGTTCTCTGCCCAGACTTGATTCAGAACGTTGGTGTTCAGCTGGTGTGAGCAAATCAAACCAGCCCAGCCTGGTGAGTGCTCATTTATGTCCTGCTTGGAGGATTCAGAAGCACAAGGCTTCTGTGGAGGCCACCTTGGGCTCAGTGCCGTTCCTGGAGAGCTGGAGAGCAGCAGCAGCAGCGTTACCCAGGAGCCCGTGGCTCCAAAGGTCAATCCCACGGATCTCTGATTCAAAACTCTTTCTCTTAGAGGATCGTATTAGTTAAAAATTTCAAGTCCTGGTTTTCTCCTGGAAAGCCTAGTCATGTGCAGAAGGCTTCTGGGAAATAAAAGCAATTCAAAACAGTGCATGGAGGAAGAGTCTTTTCTTACTCCCTTTAAACATTCTTTACTGTACCCGCCCGTGGGTTTGTTGATGAACGAGGTAACTGAAATTACAAAGCACGTTCTGCTTTTCTATTTAATCAAGAGTTCTCCTGAATACTCAGCTCTGTCCCTCTCTTCTCTTCCATTGCCTGTCTTCACCTACAGTTTTGCAATGTCATCACCTAAGATGCCCTTCTAGATCACTGACGTCTTCAGGTGTTCCTGGCAAAGCCGGCAGCAACCTATTGTTGTACTTAATTGTAGGAGGAACAGTCACTGGAACAGGAGCTTATGTAAGATGCTTCAATAACTGTGTCTAACTGGGCGAGAGGGTGGAGGGAGGTGCTGCTCTGGATGTCAGGCCAAGTTAGCCATTTAATTTTAATGTGCTCCCTGGCCTCAGGTGTTTCATTTCAACGGACACTGGCAAATAATTTAAGTTTACAAACGTGGTGTTCTCAAGCAGTGTAGTTCTTAGTGGTATATATCACCTTGGAACCAACTTTTCTGCATTAAATACATCTAAACTCCAAATTCGTAACCCTCAGGAAGGCACAAGTTACTGATGGCAGAACAGATGCACTAATTAATGTTGGCTTACAAAAAAGGAAACTGTCAACTCAGTAGAAGTCTGCCAGAGGAGGGAGAGCTGCTCTGAGACTGTGACCTCTCCTCAGCAGAGCACTGAAGGCTGCTCTGTTACCTGGGAGAGGGTCTGTTTGCCCTGCTCCTGACCAGAAAGAACTTGGCATTGTCCCTTTGGAAAAACTTCCCCTGCAGCCTGATTTGGTATTTTGCCTGTGTATTAATGGCCATTTTCCCCTAAGGGATCAGGCTGAATTTGCTCTTTGCTGCCCTTCGGACTCGCTTAGGAGCTTCATGGTCCTGCTTGCAAAAGCAGGAGTGGTTTTGTTAACCTTGACTTTTATATGTGTAAGCAAAACGCTTTGAAAATACCTTTATCTTAATTCTTTTCAACACCAATGAGTTGTTGTTTACTGATGTTTTGGACGTTGCTTCAGTTCCCTGGACAGGCTTTTGTCTGCCTCCGCTCTTTTCCGTGCCTGGCATTAAATTCCTTAGCTCTTGGTTGTGACTGTTGGCTGTGTTACCAAACACCTGACTATGGAGTTGGGTGAAATGCAGAATGTTGAGGGACTGAGAGGGATTTCAGCTCCCCAAAGGCAGTAAGTTTTGTTGAAGTCCAGTTTGGATGCCGTGCTTGGGCATTGGCTGCAGCGTTCCCTGTTGAGCCTTCGTATTTTGGAGGCTTTCTTTTCTTGCTGGCTTTTCTGGGCAAGCAGGAGACAAAAGCCTGTCGAGGTGAGAAGCAGAGCAGTGCCTCAGTGCTGTAAGGTACACGAGGTAAATCTCTCCTTGTCTGTCTCCAGGTATACAAAACACTGAGAGAAAACAAAGAGCGATTCACCAGCCGCGTCACGACCATAACGGCGCGACCTCAAGAGAGTGAGTCGTCTGCTTCTGGTGGGTGCCAGCCTGGTCCAGAGCTGGGCCTGGGGCTATTCATAAGCTGCTGACCTGACCTCTGAAGGCCAATTTAACCTCTAAAACAAATCCCAGGATCCCAGCAGGGTGGGGTTGGGAGAGACTTCTGGGGACCATCCCGTCCAACCCCCTGCTCCAGCAGCTCACCCCCAGCAGGGTGCCCAGGGGCACAGCCAGGAGGGTTTGGGATCTCTCCAGAGCAGGAGACTCCACAGCCTCTCTGGGCAGCTGCTCCAGGCTCTGCACCCTCCCAGCAGAGAAGTTTCTCCTCCTGCTCAGGTGGCACCTCCTGGGTTCCAGTTGGTGCCCGTTGCCCCTTGTCCTGTCCCTGGGCACCACTGAGCAGAGTCTGGCCCCAGCCTCTTGCCCCACAAGGGCCCCTTTGTGACTGATCAGATCCCCTCTCAGGCTTCTCACCTCCAACTAAACAGCCGTGGGGCACTCAGCCTGTCCTTGGCACAAAGACAGTCCCCTCAGCATCTTTGTAGGCTCTTGACAACGCTTTCCAGGCTGTTTGTGGACCACAGGCTGCTTGCTGAAGGTCTTTTTTAATTGATGAGATCTCAAACTGCAGTGCCTGAATTACTGAGCCAAGGCATGGTACATTTTGTAGCAGCAGTGGCTCTAGGTCCTAGCAGCTGGGTTGTTGGGTCACTCCACTGGGAAACCAGCAGGAAGACAGGACAGAAGAGGGATTGCTTTGGTTTGAGGGAGGGGAGGAAACGCCTTTGTCAGGGCTGAGGCTGGAGGACAGGCAGTGAGAGCCTAAGTGCTGAAGCAGAGGTCTCAGTAAGTCCACCTTGCTGGAGACTGTCCCATTGTGGTGGCCAGGCTGTTAGTGCCAGGGGCTCCCAGAGCCAGCCCGGGCTGCAGCTCCTGCGTGGCTTTGCTGGATTCAGCCCCTGTCTTCTCTTGCAGGTGCAGATGCTGCGTCTCGGGGCACAGCAGGTGAGACCTGTTGGTAATGTTTAACTGCCTGGCCTGTTCCTCTGCTCGGGCTGACAGTGTGTTGCTTAGGAACTGTGTGGGAGGAGGTGTGTCCTGCTGGGAGCTCAGGAGCTCGGCTCCTTTCAGAGTGCAACCACAGAAAGAGGTGCCATGGTGTTTTAGGGAGCTTGGCTTTCCTGGACACCATTCACCAGCATCCAGCACAGAGTTCTGGTCGTGCTCCCAGCCCAGCCTGTGCTCCTGAAGAAGCCCTGCAGTGAGCTCACATGCTTTGCAGTTCGTGTTTCCCAAAGAACTGTGAAAATTGTTTTCTCATTGGAATGACACCTAGGCCATAGCCCTTTCCCTGGTGTTTGGAATAATCTTGGGGCTGCATCCCCCTTCCCAGCTCAGCAGACTCTCTCAGTGTAAAGCCAAGTGCTGGGTCATTGTCTGGCCAGAGCAGAGGCCAGGCAGGGGTCTGCTGTCCCAGATCAGCTGCTCAGTGTGATCTCACCTGTCCTGATCCTGCACAAACCTGAAACTGTGTCTGCAGTGCTGGAAATGATCTCTGTGGGCCTGAGACTTTGCAAACGCTTCAGCCAGCTGTGCAGACATCAGCAGGCTCCTGTTCCCCAGTGGCTGAGTTTATAGAACACAGCTCCTAGGTGCAGCCGTTCAGGGCAGGGCTGGGAGCCTGGGGACAGGCTGCCCGAGCAGCACTGTGCCAGGCCTCTTTTGTAGATGATTCTTATTCTGAACATCTTAAACCAGGGGAAAATAGACCTGCAATGGAGGAGCTAAAGCTGTGTGGGAGAAGCTGGGCTGCTGGCCTGTTCCAAGGCTCTGCGGTCGCTGTCAAGCCCAGCGGTGCAGATCAGCCTAGGAAAATGTCTGCTGAAATCTGACAGCTCGATTTCTGTGGGGAGCCACCTTTGAGTGAAGCAGCAGCGTGGTTCTGGGAGGTGTATTGGGGTGGAAGG